AGTCATTTTCTTTTTATAGATTTATATTAGAATAATTTACAAATAAATAAGGGGAGACTACTCTGTAATTGGCCCAACTCCAACTACAGTTAAAATTTAAAGTTACCTTCTTTTTCTTCTTCTTCTTCTTCTTCTTCATCATCATCATCATTATAATCTTCTTCATCTTCTATTTCTTTCTTCTACTTCTTCACCTTCTACTTCTTCATTTCCTTCTTTTTCTTCTTCATCATCATCATCATCGTCTTCTTCATAATCTACTTCTTTCTTCTTCTTTTTCTTCTTCATCATCATCATCACCATCATCATTATCATCTTCTTCATCTACTTCTTCATTTCCTTCTTCTTCTTCTTCTTCTTCTTCTTCTTCTTCTTCTTCTCCTCCTCCTCCTCCTTCTTCTTCTTCTTCTTCTTCATCATCATCTTCATCATTTACTTCTTTCTTCTACTTCTTCACCTTCTACTTCTTCATCTCCTTCTTTTTTCTTCTTCATCATCATCATTATCATCATCTGCTTCACCTTCTTCTTCCTCTTCTTCCTCCTTCTTCTTCTTTGTTTCGCATGCCTTTACGATATGGGCAATTATGCCTCTCAACGTCCTATCCTCTCTCTATATCCCTCCTACTCCCTTTTTTTTCCATCCATTTATACTTGTTAGAGACGTTACTATTTCTCTCTATCCCTCTTGGCTCCAATACGTCCTGTGAGTGTCAAATTCTACGACCCTTCTTTCCTCTTTTCCTAGAAATATCAACTTTCCCTTTCTAAGTGTACATATAAGTTTTGTTTCCATTTGTTTTAATCATTTCATCTCAACAAAGGCAATAAAGCCACTAAAACAAAAGAAATGAAGTGAGAGAGAAATTAAGAAAAGGAGAGAAGACAATAAAAGAAAAAGGCTTAAGAAAACAGAAGATAAAGATTGACATTGCATTTAAAATTTTGAAGATCAAAGCTGACAAGGAAGTAAGAAGCCGGAAGCGAGTTCCACAAGCGAGAAGTGCGATAGAAGCAACTGTTAAGATAAAACTTACGGTTGCATCTAGCTATTGGAACTGTAAAATGATGAGATCAGTTTGTTTCTATCTATCTATCTATCTATCTATCTATCTATATATATATATATATATATATGTATATATATATATATATCAGTCAGTTCCTATCTATCTATCTATCTATCTATCTATCTCTGTTCCTATCTATCCATCTATCTATCTATCTATCTATCTATCTCAATCTTTTCCTATCTATCTATCTCTCACTATATATATATATATCAATCTGTTCCTATCTATCTATCTCAATTTTTTCTCATATCTATCTCATCTCTCTCTCTCTCTCTCTCTCTCTCTCTCTCTCTCTCTCTCTCTCTCTATATATATATATATATATATATATATATATATATATATATATATATATATAGATAGATAGATAGATAGATAGGAAAAGATTGATATATATATATATATATATATATATATATATATATATATATACAATACTTTCGGTGTTGCATTTCCCATTTTCTGTTAAAATACTTTTCATAAATTTGCGTACTTTTATTTTAATCATTTCATCCGAAGTAAGGCAATAAAGCCACTAAGTTTGAAGACGTTACAGAGGGTAATGGCAATTGAGAAAACGTTCACAACAGAGAGGGCATCAAAGATCATAATTCAAAGAGGAAGAAACCAACTCATTTCAATTTTTGAAGATCATAGCTGAAAGCGTAGGAAGAAAGCGATTTCCCCAAGAGTCAAGTACGAGTGACGAAACTATTCGCATAGAAATCATACTAAAAAATTTAAACAGTAAATTCACGAGACCTAACTGACCATCTAGTAATTGCTTGATTTTGACATCTACAAATCGTAGTTTGCATCGGGTGCTGTACCCATTGCTGATAAGCATACATTCTGACTTATAATAGTAATAATAATAATAATGGGAACATGAACAATACCTGATGTAGTTGGAACCCTCGGATTGGTTGTGAAAGATTCCAGTAGACTAACTGAAGGGATTCCTGGAAGCCCATGCCTTAAAGAAATACATAGATTGTTCAAACGCGTACAGCCCACACCTTACGAAGGGCTTTATCTATTTAAATAATAATAGTAATAATAATAATAATAATAATGGAAACAGCAATAATTCCTGTTGTAGTTGGAGCCCTCGAGTTAGTTGACAAAGATTCCAGTAAACTCATTGAAGAGATTCCTGGTAGTCCATGCCTTACAGAAATACATAGATTGTTCAAACGCGTACAGCCCACACCTTACGAAGGGACTTATCTATTTAAATATGCGTGTGCTTGTTTTTTTTTTATTTTTTAATTGATCAGTGGAAAGTGTCATGATGCCATTTCTAATTTCTGGGCGGGACCCGGAAAGAAATGTGTACACACTAGAAATCAAAGGAAATAAACTAATAATAAATCCTGACAGGACATCGCAAATTTTACGATTTTCTGTTCTTGCTTAACTTTGAACTTTTCTGACATTGTCTCTTGATATCCAACCAATAAAACATTCACTTCCGTGTTTTTCCTTCTTTGTTCTTTCTCTCTTCCTGTATATATAATTAGTAAGAAAGATAATTTACGCCTAACAAAACACGTCGACCAGTAAATTCCATCAAAGCAGATGAGTGCAAATGAAATGCTCAATATTAAAAGCAGAAGTGAGAGCAACAATAATTAATGGATGAATAAAAGGTTCAAATGATTTATCTTCTGATTTGAAATTACACAAGATCAGATCTGTTTGTCAGTGCAAGTTAAATCTAATTGAATTAGATATTACGTAAATAACGTCAATTATTAACGCCATTTAAAATTATTCTATCTATCTATCTATCTATCTATCTATCTATCTATCTATCTATCTATCTATCTATCTCAGTTTGTTCCTATCTATCTATGTATCTCAGTCTATTCCTATCTATCTATCTATCTATCTATCTATCTATCTATCTATCTATCTCAGTCTGTTTCTATCTATCTATCTATATATCTATCTATCTATCTATCTATCTACCTCAGTTTATTCCTATCTATCTATCTATCTATCTATCTATCTATCTATCTATCTATCTATCTATCTATCTCAGTCTGTTTCTATCTATCTATCTATCTATCTATCTATCTATCTATCTATCTATCTATCTATCTCAGTCTCTTCCCATACTTGACTATACATTAGATCATTGCAAAAGTTCCTGCTTGATTAGAAAATTAAAAACTGAATTTTACGTAGTCAAAAAAAAAAAGCATTTATTAGTCAAGTACCTAATCTTCATTATTTTTAACAACTCTCTTCCATTATTGATGTCATTTTCGTCGAAACTGCGTGGTTTTCGTTGAAATAAGCTACAGATTCACAATATATGTCAATTAAACTCTAGAACATGGTGTGTGCTGCAGGGTTTCCCAGTTCAATTCCTTAAGCTTCTATGAGGTCTGTTTTGCAACATGGTGTATTGCGTTGTCATGGTGGAAAATAACACTTTTTGGATTTGCCAAAACCAACCGTTTTTCTTGGATAGCAGCATTCGGATTGGTGATTTGGTCGCAATACGTCTTTGCAGTTATTGTTTCGCCGGCTGGAAAAAGCCAAAGTGAATTTTCCATCTGCCATCATACTCTGCACGACCGCCATCTTTTGCCACTCCATATGAGTAAGCGATCAATATTATTTTCCACAGTTTATCACGGCTTGATTATCTTCTCATATCCTGATCAGGATTAATTGATCACAATTTTTTAAAATTGTGGCTGGCTGAAAAGTGATGCGTTTGCAGTGCGCAGGAGGTTGCAATATGGAGAAATGCACGTACATTTGTTATAAAAAAAAGACTGTTAATATCTGATTGTCTGACTATGAGGGTATGGTTCTTAGAGGCGTCTATGGCTAAAGGGACCCGTGTCTCAAAAATGGTTAAGAACCACTGCCCTAAAAGAAGTAAGAATAGCGAATAATTTTTTTAGAAACGTTAGTGCGTTATTTCCCTCGCTGGGATAGACTGTTCTAGTCTACCCCAGCGATCGAAATAAAGGGTTCAGTTCAACATTCCAACCCCCATTAAGAATGCCGGAGCGTACAATGGCCGAAACATTGTAATAAATATGGCGACAAAGATGAGGTCAATAGTCCGAATAATGTAAATAGTGTACATAATACCTCATCTCAGAAATATAGACAGATACTGAAAGGCCGAAACGTTGTGATAAATATGGCAACAAAGATGAGGTCTATAGTCCGAATAATTTAAATTGTGTACATAATACCTCATCTCAGAAATATAGACAGATACTGAACGGACGAAACGTTGTAATGAATATGGCAACAAAGATGAGGTCAATAGTCCGAATAATTTAAATAGTGTACATAATACCTCATCTCAGAAATATAAACAGATACTGAAAGGCCGAAGCGTTGTGATAAATATCGCAACAAAGATGAGGACAACAGTCCGAATAATGTAAATAGTGTACATAATACCTAATATCAGAAATATAGACAGATACTGAAGGGCCGAAACATTGAAATAAGTATGGCGACATAGATGAGAACAATAGTCCGAATAATGTAAATAGTGTACATAATACCTCATCTCAGAAATATAGACAGATTCTCCGTAATTATTATCCAAAATAATTTTTTAATTCGGTATCTCATTTCATCTACTCACCATTATATATATATATATATATATATATATATATATAGAGAGAGAGAGAGAGAGAGAGAGAGATAGATAGATAGATAGATAGATAGATAGATAGAGAGAGAGAGAGAGAGAGAGAGAGAATGAAGTGAGATAGAAGAATAAATTATGTAAGAGAGTTAAAAAAAGAGAGATAGCGAGAGTAAGTGTTAGAGAGTGTGATATATATACTCACCATTGTATATAATATATATAGAGAGAGGGAGAATGGAGTGATATAGAAGGATAAATTATGTAATAGAGTTAAAGAAAGAGATAGGGAGATTAGGCTATAGAGAGAGTGGTATGTATACTGAGAAACATAGAGAGAGACAGTAAAATATAAAGAGAAAGATTGTGTAAAGAGAGTGGGTTGAATGAAGAAAGAGTGAATGTATGAGAGAATGAGTCAGAGAGAAACAGAGTAGAAAATGAGAAGAAAAAAAGGCGATGGATAGGGCTTGAGAGAGAAAGAGGAAAATCGAGTGAGAGTGATAGAATGAAGAAAGGCGCTGAGGGGGAATAAGAGAAAGGGGAGAAAGATAGGAGAAACGTTAGGGAGAGAAAGAGAGCTGAAGGGAATATAAAGAGAGAGAGGAAATGGCAGATGGTGAGAGAGTAAGTAAGAGTAGAACCGAGTGACAGAGACAGAGAGACAGACGGAGAGGGAGGATTTTATTGTCGTGAATAGCGTTAATCAAGGGCTTGGCTTGACTTGATAAACCGGCTATAGATTGAGGCGAATAGCCGTCTCGTGGGAAAATAAATTAACTTTAGCCAGAAACGATTTTCAACGGTTGAAAATTTGAATCCCAACCTTTTGTGCTTAGGGCTCACTGCGGTCAGTCTCTGGCAAGGCTTGTGAAACCGAGGCTCAATATTCATGTTTTATATCGGAAATATTTAGCGTTTAAAGTTTTGGGTAATGCCAACGATATGAAAAAAATTGTGAAGAGAGAGAGAGAGAGAGAGAGAGAGAGAGAGAGAGCAAGAGAAAACGAGTACGAATATGTGTGTGTGTGTGTTTGTGTGTCTGTGTATGTTTGTGTGTCTCTGTGTGTGTGTTGGTAAGCAAAGAGGGCTAGATATATAGAGAAAGAGAGCTTCTGTAATAAACAGAGAATGAGAGAGTAACCGTATGTAAAAAAAAAAAAAAAATAGAAAAAGAGGGAGACATCTAGAGAGAAAGAGAACGAGAGAGACGAAGAAAGAGAGAACGTACGTACGTGTGTGTGTGTATGTGTGTGTGTGTTGGTAAGCAAAGAGGGCTAGATCTATAAATAAAGAGAGCGTATGAAATAAAAATAGAAAGAGAGAGAGAGAGAGAGAGACATCTAGAGAGAAAGAGAACGAGAGAGATTTTGAAAGAGAGATCAAGACGGAACTAGTGTGTGTGTGTTTGTGTATGTGTGTGTGTGTGTGTTTGTAAGCAAAGAGAGCTAGATATGTAGATAAAGAGAGCGCCTGAATAAAAATAGCAAGAGAGAGAGAGCGAGAGAGAGAGAGAGAGAAAGAACGAGAGGTATTTTGTAAAAGAGAGCAAGAGAGAACGTACGTGTGTGTGTTTGTGTGTGTGTTGGTAAGCAAAGAGAGCTAAATCTCTATCTATAATACGCAGGATGTGTGTGTGTGTGTGTGTGTGTGTGTGTGTGTGTGTGTGTAACGAATGCACGGCCGAAATTTTCGACGGATTTGCACCAAAATTTACATGCACATGCTCCAAGTTAGCGGGAAGGCCAAGACCGACTTTGCATTTCCCAACTCCCATCGGTAATGGAAATAATCGATTTTTTCGTGCTTCTACGGCAGTTTTCATGTAGTTTGCGGCCATTTTCTACTGGCCAGAGTGAGGGCCTATAGCTGGCTGCCACGAATAGGCAGGAAGATTCTATTAGCCAGCGTAAGAGCCAACAGCTGACTGACACGAATGTTAACTAGCATGCTAGCGTGCAAAAAAGATCGATAGCTGCATTCGTCACAAGAGGGAAAAAATTTAAATCTGCATGGCACTTTATTCCAATTGACTCATTCGCTTGCTTAAACTCAACGTTGATTCTGATTCCGCAGAACTGGGTTGGGTGTGAAAAAGTATTTTTAACATTCTTTTTCATTCGGTTTTTCCAGTTATGAGTCCTTTTTTAAAGCTGATCGTTTTGTGTTCATTTTGTTTAGTTCTTTTTTCGTAAGAGATTTAATGTTTAGTATCGAGCTTAGAAAAAATTCGTAGTGTGAAATAGGCAAGAATTAAGGCATGTAGCAACATCAGCACGGCAAAGGGCACTCCTTTAAAGGCAAGGAAGGGCAAAAATATTTAAGTCAAGTGATAGTGATTGCTGTATGAGTTGTACGATTTTTGAAACAAACACGGGCAACGCCGGGTCATGCTGCTAGTATATAGATAAAGTGAGTGTCTGAAAGAAACGGAGAATGAGAGAGTAACCGTATGTAAGAAAGACAAAGAAAGCGAGAACGGCAGAGAAACTAGGGAGAGAGTAAGATATAGAAAGAGAGTGCGACAGATTGAAAGAGAGAGAGGGTAAGAGACGGTGAAGGAGAGAGACAACTAGAAAGAGATGCATTAATACTAAATAGAGAAAGAGACAGAGAGTGAGAGGAGGGAACAGAAGTGTCTGTGGGTGAGCAAACAGAGAGTGCGAGAGTGACACAGAGTTTGAGAGAGAGGTGGCGAGTGGGAGACAGAACTGATTAGATAAAAGTTGACATAGAATAAAAAGTGATAAATTTGGACAAGTATTTGCGTGACAGAGAGACGAGAAAAAAAAGCAGACCATGAAAAAAAAACGGAAAATGAAATTATTAACGACACCATTTTGAGCCGTAAAAATCCGGTCGACAAAAGAAAATCACGAACGGAAATACATTTATTGATTTTTAAATTAACTTGAATAATAAACACCAACACATTATTTATATAATCACACAATACTAGGCCCAAGAGCCACTCAAAGTACTGTTATGACTAAAGACGTGAGGGAATGCAGTGGTGGAAAGAACTGAATATTATGCGGATAAATAGGTACTTTTGAGTACAACCACATCATTACCGAATGTTACACAGGGTCGAAGTATAGAGTTGGTTTACCGGGAGTATCGTAGAAAAATTGCCTAGCTCTCTCAGCCCTCCCCATTGTGCCGGCCGATAAACCCCGGTCCTCTTCCGAAGGAGACGTGCTACCTGGGGGTTTGGGGAAGTCCCTCTGGGCCTTGGGCTTAAAGTTTTTGATCCTCCTCGACTTCCGAAAGAGCCGAGAAGCGATAAATGATTTTCTAAGTGTAGCTTAGATGTGTTACAAGACCGTACATATGAGACACTCAGTGAGGATCGAACTCACTACTCAATTGTAGATTATCTAGCGTGACAAGATTGCTGACCATTACACCACGTCGAGGGGCCGGCGCAAGGATGCTAAATAACGAATTACGTCGTCGTCGTCATATATATATATATATATATATATATATATATATATATATATATATATATATATATATATATATATATATATATATATATATATATATATATATATATATATATATATATATATATAAATATACTGAAAAAACAAACAAAAATCCTAATATGCGATTATGCTGTTTTAATGTTTAATGTCAACGTTGGACGTTTCGGTCTAATAGACCATCTTCAGGACATATTCATAAAACATAATTAACATAGACCATATACAATTCAACATGAAAAAAAGACGATGGACATAAAAGCAATACCAATCCAAACAGATAACAGAAATCTTTTTATAAGATCAGCGTTCCGTTTAAATATGATCACGTCACGTCATGTTGAATTGTATATGGTCTATGTTAATTATGTTTTATGAATATGTTCTGAAGATGGTCTATTAGACCGAAACGTCCGACGTTGACATTAACCATTAAAACAGCATAATCGCATATTAGGATTTTTTTTTGTTTTTTCAGTATATTTTCTTCATACTGTCGGATCTATATCCATATATTTGCTTACACACACACACACACACACACACACACACACACACACACACACATATAAATATATATAGTTTTAAGGTGTGCTATATTTATGGGATAAAGTACTCAAAATAACAGCTAGAATGGACTACTCGCTATGCACCACTGACGCGTATATATAGTCAAGAAAAAAAAAACAACACTCGCGGCCTGACGATCTATCTATCTATCTATCTATCTATCTATCTATATATATATATATATATATATATATGCATAATGTCGTTGACTGCAAAAGAAATGTCATACATAGTCGAACCATACTTTACCAGCTCAAAGGAAATTCCGAGACCATTTTAAAAAGTGACAGGCATGATCTAGAAACATGTTCCTGCGTGCTGTGACAGATTTCTGTGAGGCAGGCAATGCTGACTGTGCATGAAAATGAGAGAGCGATCTTGTGCATGTTCTCTTCATAATGGCGACCACCTCAGTGTTGTGATATTCAAATCTTAGATAATATGTTGAACTCTTTGTATATCCGTTATGCAATAAATGTATTTGGTATCTGTGTTCTTTTTATAATCCAAGATACATTTAAAATGTGTTCCATCATTATGGAACACCCTGTATATTCTAGCAACGACACTCGGCATTGCTCGAGACAAAGTGTTTCATTTAGCCCTAAACACTTTTTTCCTTGAGAGTTGACGTGAAATAATATTATTTGTTCATTCTGCAAGATACAACGCTCGAGAGCCACTCAATGTAGAGGTTTACTGTTATGACTAAGGAAGCGAGTGAATACAAAGGCGGAAGGAACTGATGATTATGGGGATAAGGAGACCAGAAGAGGTCAACATTAAAAGTTGTCCGCAAGACTTTCACGCAATTGTCTGTTTCACAATGTAGCAGTTCATGGGGAAAAAAGAGCCGTGTGGAGGTTCTTCCTTGCAAATGGAAGACGGAGGAAATGAGGGCGGTTCGACTCTGGGGAAGTGGCACGGCGTGTCCTTGCAGTAATGATCTGAATTGGTGTAATTAAAGAATAGAGTTCGTCTAAACATAAATAGCGATAAAGTATCCAAAGACTTGCAACGTTCCATTAATCTGAAAAATCTATGACCAGGCTTTTTCCATATTTCACCTTTCTTAACAGAATTACTACACTCCCAAGCAAACGTACAAAACAGTATCGTGAAATCAAAAGAAAATGGTTGAATCCGTCAACACAACAATAAAAACAATATCTCCACACGTGACAATACTTGACGTAATTTTCAGTTAACAGTATGAAAATAGCGTTCTCTGAATTCTTCCAGGTGCTAAGGACATTTTGTTTTGTTATTATTAGTTACTTAAATAAATTAATTTCGTTTTTTGCCTTGAAAAAAGTACACATCGGACGAATCGCGTCGACTACCATTACAGTTTTCGTATTGTCTTTTACATATATATATATATATATATATATATATATATATATATATAATAAGAAAGTGGGGCCCTCATTGGTCTTCGGATTAACCCCAGTAGATTAAATTAGGAGGGTTAATCTAACGGCATATCAACTTGAATTATTAGATAGCATAATGCACCCGCTACTCTTGGGCCACAAAGATAAATGGCGATCTAAGGTTAAACATGGGTGCATTTTAGGATTAGTGTTAAAATGTAAGACAAACTTTGGCTTTTAGGAGTGTTTTTTAGGCCGACATAAATCATGTTTACATGAAAGTTAAAAAAAAGAAGCTAGGTACAGGTCTGAATTACACTGGAGTCAAAAATGTAGAGAGAGGTTTAGTTTGAACGACAGTTAAAATAATAATAGGTCAGTTTTATATTGGAGTCGAAAAGGTAGACACGTGTCCGTTTTACAGAAGTGTCAAAAAGGCAAACATTGATCAGATTTACACTGGTATCAAAAAGGTAGGCAGAGGTGGAGTTTACACCAGACAAAATGGTAGACATAGATACGATTTACACTGGTGTCAAAATGATAGACAGCAGTGGAATTTACACGAAAGTCAAAAAGGTAGACAGATCCGATTTACACAGGTATAAAAAAGGTAGCAACTGGTGGAGTTTACACGAGAGTTATACAATAGACATCGAGTTGATTTACACAAGGGTTCAAAAATAGTCATAGGTCTGGCGTACAGTGGTATTAAAACAAAAGTGTGGTTTAGACGAGAGTCAAAATGGTTGAGATAGTTCCAGTTTATATGAATGAAACGGTTCACTGTATCGAGCAAGGCAATTTTTTTCGCCTGACTCTATCTTACATATTTATAAGTTTACCATTCGAATATTGCTAGCCACATATGGTCCGGTGATCCTGCTATATATTTAAAGATTCTTGATAAAATCCTAAGAAGAATCTGTAATGCTATTGGTTTTGTCCTGGCATCTCGATTTTAGTCAGTTTACCACTACCGTAACACGTAGCTTCACTTGTACCTTTTTTTTTTATATAAATACACTCAAGTATACATGGCACAGTGGATAAAGGCGTTAGTTAGATCCGGTGACAGGACCCAAAGAGTGTGAGTTCAATACCAGGTTAAGGCGGTGGAGAACTTGGAGAGCAGGAGATAACTGATAACTGACATCCATTAGGCATAGCACGTGGAACTAGAACAGTCTACCCCAATGTTGTAGAGTAGTTTTCACAGTGGAGGCTTGTATTTCACTAAGTCGGTCCTAAATTAGGTTCGACGTACAAAACGTTAGGAACTTGAAATAAGAGTTAATGACGCAGCAATCTAGTTGTGGGGCTCATCCAGTAATGTCCGACATCGACTGACTCACACAACTCACTGAGCTCCACTGGCCACTGCTACTACTACTACTTATTATCTGTGGGAGAGTCTATTTACAATAGAAATAGGTACGTTCCGTTATAACACCCAATGAGCGAAATAAAGGGTTCAGTTCAACATTCCAACCACCTGAAGAAGGCCGGAGCGTACAACGGCCGAAACGTTATAATAAGTATGTCGAGAAAGATAAGGACAATAATCAGAATAATGTAAATAGTGTACATTTATGGCAGTTGTTGATCTTTACTCTGTGGTAAACAGAATTATGAATTTAAGTGCAGTATTAGATTGGTGGCAAGGTTTTATCATTTTAGAGTTGAAACATCTAGAATAAACCGTAGGTTCTATTGTGAGAGTTTCTTCTATTGCATTTCTCACTTTTAGAACTCTCTTCCGGCTTCTTGTTTCCCAGTCAACTTCGATCTCCAAAGATTTAAATACGATATAAATCGGTATCATCTGTCTTCTTATTTCTTGTTATTTTATTGTTCTCTCTTCTTAATGGTGTTTTTTATTTCTTTTTCGTATTCTTTCACACCCAGTAAGCCTTTGAATCTTAGTGGCTTTATTGCCTTGCTTGTGGTGAAACGGCAATAAAAGATCTATGTTCGCTTTACACTGGCGTCAAACGATACACGTGTTTCATTTATACTTGATTTTAAAAGCTAGACCTAGATTCAGTTTACGCTGGGGTCAAAAATGTTGAAATAGGTCGATTTCAAACTGCTGTCTAAAAGATAAAGTAAAAACACATAAGTCCAGATTCCGCTAAGGTATAATAAAAAAAAAAACATTGGTCGATTTTATTCAAGAGCGTGAAGGAATCCACTTGGAAGTTTTCCCCTTTAAGAGAAGTTTCTTACATCACGATATGAGATGTAATGGGGGACTTGTAAGCCTTACCGGCAGGGCAAACACATTAAAAGAGTAATAGGCTAGAAAAAGAGATTTCTAATAGATTACTATATGCCAAAATCTTTTAGTTTAGTGTGGTACAA